CTATTTGACCAAGTCAAGTTCTAGATAAGATATAATAGCATTTTCTGCAGATTTGAGGGCCTCACGTTATGTCTGTAGCTGTTGTGCTTTATAGTTGATTGTTAGGGAGAGGCACTTGTCCGCAGTGAGGTTTAGCACAGATCTCTGCGACACACCTGGTAGCAGAGACCGTCCCGGACACAGACAGCCAGAGCTTCAGGTATCCAGTGCATGTCCAATCATTACGCCCTAGAAGCTGGGCGTAAGCGGATGTCTTTATACTGTGATAAAAGGCTTTGATGAACATTAGACTTGTGTGGGCTGTTTCTCAATCTCTTTTGTCAGTGTCTGATCATATATCAGACCAAGGATGCATTTCATTTCAACAGTGCTCATTAATTTTTTTTTAAAAAAAGATTCCAACTTAAGGTGAAAAGATTTGAGCTTTTTAAAATTTAGTGCAAATTTAATTTTGAGTTTAAGAATCTTCTATTAGGTAAGTACCGAAGAAATAAACACAGAAAATCCTGAAAGAGAAAACAATCAAGGGTTTTTATGTAAACAAGAAAGTTCAGAAGAGGTGGATAGTGTGAACAAAAGCAAAGGTGTGAGCGGCAGGAAGGCGTAGCGGCTCCCACTCGTTTGCGGCTTCAGTTTGACTACGTAGGCAGTGTTCACACTGGAGGCAGTGTGATGTAACAGACTTCTAAGCTGTACCAAAATAGTTTTATATAAAAAACTTTAAACTAATCTATTTTTTTCTCCACTGTAATTTGGTTTCACTTCCTATGGTCTCCAAGTCAATATGAGAAGTATAGAACTCTATTTGTATTGTGGAGCCATGGATTATTTAGAAGAAATATTTTAAAAAACTTTTTAATTTTAATTTACTTTTACTTTCTAATCCACCCTAAGTCTGTTTACATTCTCATTTTAAAACCTGTTGAGTTGTACAAAAAATAAATTTAAAATTGGAGCTTTAGTAATAAAAGAGAAGATTTCTTATTTTGTTAATGCTGCTAGTGTGTTATTGAATGGATACATGATTTAAAGATGTAACCATCTAGGAAATATATCTGACTTTAATCAAACTTTGTTTTTAGTTATCTACTTTAACCTTAATATTGAAAACATATAGAAGGTCAAAGTTTCTTTTTAAATGCATCGTTTTTGTATTTACTATGACTATAAACTTAGTTTTGAGCACATTAAAACATTCAGTCATTTATAAGGTGATTGACCATTAATTTGTGTGTCTTAACTATCTTAGTTTACAACAAGTTAGTAGCTTTTATAAGATTAGGATTATACAGTTGTAGACAAACATTTCTAAATCGATTTTTGTTAACCTGAGTATACCTTCACAACCTTAGGAACTTATCATATAAAAACCATTGTAATCCAAAATATCTTGGAGATTTGTCATTGTTTCTTTAGTCTAAAAGGAATAATAATAAACAGAAGGCTTAGTGAGCCTAAGTATTAGGAGTGTTGTCTTAGTTAGTTGATGCCACCTGGTCACTTTAAGAAAGTGGTAAATTGTGTGGCCTGTGGTTTTTAACCTTAGGAAAGATGGCTCCCAGGCACGTGGACTTCTTATCCTGATGAGACATCAGCTAAGATGAAGGCAAACTATGTGGCTGGTATTAAAAATGTATCTATTTTATATGCTGAAATGTAGCAGACCTAATTTTTAAGGACCTGAATCATATATGTGTAGGTATGCATAAAGCTAAAGAAAACTAAAATTATGTTATTAATAGATTTAACTACCAGTCTTTTAGTATGAGTTTTAAGCTAAATTTTTGTTACAGATTTTACAGAATTTTACCCATATCCACTGAACTTACAAATCTTGAGATAAAGACTATCTCCTCAATGTGCTAATTTATACATGAGGTCAGTTAATATTGAGTCATAATATCTTTTCAGGATAACAATCTGGGCTGAGATATGCAAACTGGGGACCCAACGCTATCCATTATGACTATAAGACTTTGATTTTTCTTAATCCATTCAAAAAAACTGTCACCAACATTTAAATATAGCAAAGTCACTTAAACAGTTAATGGCTAAGAAATGTCTAATTAAAGCTTATGTATTATAGCAAGCTGAGACTTTTCAGCTCTACCACCTGGGATGGGTGCTCTCTGAAGAGCCTGTGGAATTCGTATATAGAATACATGTTCCTTTTCTTTTTAAAGAATTATCTACAGAAGCATTAGAAGCAGGTTCTATTATATTTTAAAATCCTAAATCGAAAGAATTTTTAGATGTAATTTTAGGTAAATACCCACAATGCATCTTTAAAATTCTTAAGAGGGAAAACTGTGGATAATTATCTATAGAATCTAAGTAACACGCTGCTGTACCCTGTCAATTCTTATTAGTGAGAAACAAACAATTGACCCGCATTTTATCAAGAGGCACAGTAATTTCTATAGACTCTTTAGCAGTAAGGGATGATTTTTGAGAGACCACTTTAACAACTGCATTATTTAATAAATTAATAGTCTGTTCTTTTTAGATATTACATTGTTCTAGAATCTGAGAGCTTTCAGAAGGAAAGACAGACAAGGAGCCTGGAGAGATGGCTCAGCACTTAAGAGTCCTGAGTTCCACTCCCAGCAGCCACATTGGTGGCTCACAACCATTTGTAATGAGATCTGGCGCCCTCTTCTGGCCTGCAGGGATACATGCAGGCAGAGCACTGCATACATAATACATAGGCACAAATCTCCAGTAGTGAAATTCCAGGGCTTGAATGTATGTACAAAACTTTTTCCTCTCTATACTAAGTTGTACAAGTCTGCAGTTCAGGGGAAGTCTCTAATCCTAACCTTGGTTGTTTTTTGTTTGTTTGTTTGTTTGTTTGTTTGGCTACTGTAGTTCTGCTTCTAGCCAAATCTTGTTAACTGAAGTGTGTGAACCCAGGACATGGTTTCTGTGCTGACAAGCTCATCCTGAGAAAGGCTTTGGATTACAATGGGATCCTGAACACCCAGTGTAGTCCCCAGCCAGCTAGTAAAGACTTTTATTGGCTAAAACCAGTGTCTGAGCAGTCATCTCTGGTGAGTGTCCCACAACTGAATCTTACATTTACCATTTGGCTAGGTTGGTTAGTTAGTAAGCTCTACAACCCACCACTGCCTGCTCCCTAGTGCTGGTGTCATAGGCATATGTGGCCATGACCAGCTTGTTGTATGAGTGCTGGGGATTTGAACTCGGGTCCTCATGCTTGCAAACCAAGTGCCCTTTTTTTTTTTGGTTTTTTTAAGACAGGGTTTCTCTGTATAGCTTTGGTGCCTGTCCTGGAACTACCTCTTATAGACCAGGCTAGCCTTGAACTCAGAGATCCTCCTGCCTCTGCCTCCTGAGTACTGGTAATAAAGGTGTGTGCCACCACCGCCTGACTTGCTCTGGCCTTCTGAATTATCTCTGTAGACCCTTGAAAGTGACTCTATACTTTTTTTTTTTCATATTTTAAAGAGTTAGATGTGGCGTGTCTCAGATAAGGCTACACACTTCATAGCCAGAAACCCCAACTAGTTTTTCCTTCCCCTTGCTGCCCAGAAATCAGAGGTGACCAGCTGGGAGCATCAACTATGGGCTATGCATTAAGTGGGCCTATTGCTTCATGGTACAGGGTCTCTTTCTTCCCTTGGAAACTAAGGGGGACCTTGCTTTGTCTTAGGATCTGAAAGCTCTCTCGTCAGAACACCACCGTACTGTTTGTGTTGATCGACGGGGCTCTCGCCTGAGGGACAGTCTGTCTCTTGAATCACATTTTCTCACACCATCACATCAATCGGGATTTAACATCTCTCTCTTTGGGGGCAGGGACAGATTTCAAGATAGGATTTCTCTGTATATCCTTGGCAGTCCAGGAAATCACTATCTAGAACCGGCTGGCCTCAAACTCAGTGATCCACTTGCCTCTGCATCCCAAGGGCTGGGATTAAAGGTGTGCATCACCACAGCAGGGCCAATCTGGATTTAAATCTAACAAGTATATTTATATTACACCACCACAGCATGGCCAATCTGAATTTAAGTCTAACAAGTATATTTATATATATTTTTTCAGAGAGCTTTAAAATTTACTATGCTAGATATTGTGGTGCAGACTTAGCAGCACTCAGGAGGCAGGGCAGGGAAAATCTGTGAGAATGGGGGTAGCCTGATCTACATAGAGAGTTCCAAGCCACCCAGAGCGACATAGTGACATTAAAAACCTTAATCGCTCATTTATTTATGCGTTGATATGCACATGCATCTATTATCTCCTCTAGAGATCAAAGCACAACTTGCAGAAATAGAGTCACCAGGCTTGGTGGCTGAGTTTTTACCCACTGAGCCCTTAGAGGGCTTAGAATTTGCAAATTTACCATACTATCTATTATTTGCTTGTAACCCAGATGTTATGCCCTGCAATTCTGAAGGAAGCATAAACAACTTGGTTGACAGCCAGAGAATTTCTTCAGCAATGAGTCAAACACATACAGAAGGCAGTGGTTTTAATAAATTGACAAAAGAACAGTACCTATGAATCTAGGAAAAACAGACAATGATGAAAATCCTCTCGATGACATAATCAATTCATATTTACACTAACAAAAGAGAAATTCCACACACTGTTTCTCAGACTTTTAAGTCCATCAGTACTGTTTCTGAACCGCTATGATGCTGGACCCGAACATTTGGACCGATAACCAGCTCCTCACTGTGTTGGTTCAGAATGGTATTTTAAAAGTCATCCTCCTGATACCGGAGACGGTTCAGTGGAAAAGAGTACAGTCTGCTCTTCCAGAGGATCTAGGTTCAATTCTCGCCACCCACATGCCAGCTCACAACTGCCTTTACCTCCAGCTTCAGAGAGTCCAACACCTTCACACAGATGACATACGTGCAGGCAAACACGAGTGCACATTAAATAAACATAAATAACTTTTTTAAAAAAATCATTTCTGGCTGGTGGTGATACACACGTTGATACCAGCACTAGGGAGGCAGTGGCAGGTGGAGTTTGAGGATAGCCTGGTCTACAGAGTGAGTTCCAGGACAGCCAGGGATGCACAGAGAAACTCTGTCTTGAAAAGCCAACAAAAGAAAAAAAAAAACACCATTATGGCCTTCTTAGAGAGAATGGTGCATCGCCTGCATCAGAGCTGTCTGGGTTTCTCTCTTAATAAGTTTATTTGTTTGTTTGCTGTGTTCTGTTTGCTGAGTTTTAATCTTGAGCTGTGTGATTCTTCTGGATAGAATTTAGGATTCTTCTAGAAGGTATGTAAAGCCATTAAGCAAGGTGGAAAAAAGTTCTGTATTCTTTTCATCTTGAGATGTGTTCAGTAACTTGCACTCTGACGCCTTTTTCAACAGCCAATCAAAAATCTCATTTCGCATGTAAAAGAAAATGTATCCGGTGTGAAGCCGATTCTCCTGAATCAAGGCCTCTGGGATCTCGAACACTTGGACATCACTGTACAGGAGCCACGCCTGCCTTTGAAAGTCATACACATCGCTTACATAATGGCCTGAATCTTGGGAGCTCCCAAAATGGCTGACGACACCGACGAGCCTGTAGTTCTGGGGATCGGCTCCCAGTGCTGCGTTTTTTGAGTCAGTTTCAGTGTTCCTGGCTCCGGCGTCTTCCTCGGTACTGCGAACACTTTGAGGTGATGCCCAAGGCAGCAGTTCCGCGTGGATTCTACTCCCGTGCATCTGGAGGAGCTGTTCGGCAATTTCTTGAGATCCATCCAGGATGTTTTGTTCTTTAAGATCACATAAATAATTGGCCATCTCAGTTGCGGTGTAATGATCTGACTTTCCATATACATTGATTTTCTCATACTTCTTAAATTCTGAACTCTTGGAGACCTGTTGAAGACCTATCTCTGCAAGACCTGGTATGTGGATGCTGAGAGGGTCGCACATCACTGAGTCCGGTGCTGACAATGTCTTCTCGCTAAACATCCTGTTTTCTCTCTTTACTGCCTTTGGCTCCACTTTAGGACCATTTTCAAGGCCTCTCTGCCACTGCTCCTCACTGAGCTCCTCGTACATCCTGTGCAAGGTTTGGACTTCAGCGTCCTCAGTGGATCCAACCTGTAGAACTGTGAAATCAATGAAGTCTGAAGCCACCCTCTTAGCTGGTATCGACTGGCTGAGGATGTCAGGCATCATCTCTTCAGAGACATTTGGGACACCAAAGGCCTCGTGAGGGGACTGACTGGTCAAGGGATATGGTGGCTTCGTGTTTTCATTGCAATGGGAAGAGACATCCAGATACTTTGAAATCTCAACTGGCTGCTGGCTCTTCACTAACAACCTGTTAGCAGTAAAGTGGTAGCGTTTCAGATGAAGGATAAGGACCCTTGGGAGTCTCCTCAAAGTGTATCTGAGCACAGAATTCTTGTTCTTGCATTTCTCACAATTGCGCTCAATTTTTTCCGGTGTAAAGAAAAGATCAAGTGACTTCTGAATCGACAGAGGGTGTTCTTTTGTCCCTTGGTGCAGATCAACGGAGAGGTAATTACTCACTTCAGTGTTGAAGGTCGCCTCACCACAGGCTTCACAAACAATAGAGCTATCCAGCTCTATTTCAAAATTGGCACTGACAGGACAAACAAACATTTTGGTGGAGGCAGTCCCACCATATGCTGATGGAAAAAAATCGTCAACTTCGTTTTCCCTCTCAGTAATGCACATGGCGTTTAGTTTCTCCACGTTCAGTTTCAACTGGTCTAAGCACTGACTTAAAAATTCATGGGCATCATTCTGTTCATCGCCCAAGAATGTGTCTGCAACAGTGGAAATGGATTTCTTCACATTTATGAGTAATTGTCCCTTGATCTCTACATCTCTGATGTCTTTCAAGACAAGAAGTTGGCTTAAGGGCTTGATGAGATCATCACAGGAAACTTTCTCCCACGGGATACCTTGTGTGAGCAAGTCCTTTGCGAAGGTTGGGATCCCAAAGACAGATTGTAAGATGGAATTCATGTAGCAGGTGTTTCCTAAGTTGGGGAAGCCTTCACGTGTCAGCTGCTTTGCGCACGTATCGAGAGGAGACTGGATATCGTTATGTATTGGGATCTCCTGGCTAAACTTGGATCCGCTTGCAAAAACAGTGTCGTCTAGGTCAAGCTTCCCGCAGGAGTTGGTACTGAATAACGGCTCAAGTTTCCAGTTGTTATGCATTTCCTGATCTCTTATAGGCATCAGCTTCTCTCCTTTGTTTCTTTTGTTCCTGGAGTTGTAGCTCTTGGATTTCTTTCTTGATTCGGTATTACTTTCTTTGAGAAAGACCTCATTCAATTCTACAGTGGATGTTGAGATCGTCTTACGCTTCTTGTTCTGTTTCTCGGTTCTCTCTTCTTCAACATAACCGCTGGCGGAGTTTGCCATTGAAAGCGACATATTCATGGGGAACAGCGTCTCACTTTCTTGTGTGATATTCAAAGATCCACAAAATGTATCCTGGTGCTTCCGGCAAAATAGATCGCCGCTTTCAAGAACATCCGGATTCCTCTCTGGTTCCTCGAGTTGTTGGGATTCAGAAGGATGAACAGAATCCAGGACAGCCTTCAACTGTTCAACATCGAAGGCAGATAGCTTGTCGATGAGTAAGGACGTGTCATCTTTCAGAGTTAAATGCAGACGATGCAGTCCAGCCTCACAATAACTAACCACTACACCTGCAACATTACCACCCAGCGGGAAAACCCTTCTCCTTCCTTCCAACTTAAAGGAGACCACCAGACTAGCCTTCTGCTTCCTCTCCACTGTTTCGATGACTGCCTCTTTCCACTGAGAACCCCGGGTGTGCTTGCTCCGGTTCTTGCTTCGGATTTGGACGAAACCGTGTATCTTTAGAAGAGCCATTCTTTCTTCACAAAGAAAACACGTCTAATCTAAAAATAAACATACAAGAGCACGATGCACACTGAGATTATAGACTCAAAATGTATTCATCATAATTTCTTTTGTAAAACCAACTGACCAGAATTGGCTTTTAGTCTGTTCTTTCTGCCTCAAGTATAACACTACAGAAAAACTTATATTTTTGGTTTAGTATTTACAACATTTATTGATTGATTACAATTAAGAAAATTGGAGTTACTTGTATCCTTTAAATGAAAAGACTATAATTGTGTATGTCCATGTGTGTGCATTTGTGCAAATGTGAGTGCAATGCCCTCAGAGTCCAGACTCCCTAGAACTGGCCTGCCAGGCAGCTTTCAACTGCCCTGTATGTGGACTAGAAACTGAACTTAGGTCTGTATTCGGAGACTCCTCATTTGTTACCCAGATCCGAATAATCACACAGAAACTATATGAATTATAGCACTGTTTGGCTGATGACTCAGGCGTATTTCTACCTATCTCTTACATCTTAAATTAACCCATTTCTATTAATCTGTGTACTTCCACGAAGCTGTGGCCTACTGGTAAGATTCTGGCATCTGTCTCCTTTGGCAGCTACATGGTGTCTCTCTGACTCCACCTACTCTCTCTGTATCTCTTTTTGGATTTCCCACCTTGCTTTATTCTGCCCTACCATAAGCCGAAGCAGTTTCTTTATTAACCCATGGTAATAAAACATATTCACAGCATATAAAGGGGAATCCCACATCATGCTTAACACTGAGCTATAGATGCTGTGCCCATTCTCTGGAAGACAGAGTTAGTTTGCTCATTTTTCTGTCCCAGTGTTTAATTGTCAGGGGTGATTCTATTTGTCAACTTTCCACCACCAACCATCACCTGGAAACTGAGTCTCAATGAGTTTTTGTCTAGATCAGGTTGGCCTAGGGGATTGTCTAGGTTGCCTTAATAAGAATGGAAAGACTCAGGTTGAAAGGGAGTGACATTGTGTCCTGCTTTAGGGCACAAAGGACAGAAGAGTAGAGACAGAGTGTTGTGCGCCGAGCATGTATGCATGTGTTATTCTTAACTATCTCATGTTCCTGCAGATGTGACTTCCCCAAAGGGATGACTATAACGTGTGACTGGGAACTGAAATAACTGTTCCCCCCCCCACCGCCACGTTTCTCTAAAAGTTTTGTTTTCCACAGTGTTTTATTGTCTATAGAAAAAATAAAAGCTGTAAGTACCTTAAGTAAAATGTGGTAGGAGTACTTCTCTCACAGGTTCCACTGTCCTCTGTCCTGATGCTGCTGCTGATACAACTGCAGTTCTGGTCAAATTCTACTCTCTCATGCAAATGCAAAATGTAGAAAGATTGAGGCTGTGAGTGGTCACCTCTGGTGCTGGCCTTTTGATTGCAGATTCAGGATTCAGATACACAGTCCTGCAGTGGTCATATGATACACATCAATGAGTACATATGTGAATATATGAGGGGCTGAAGGCATAGGTCAGAGGTTAAAGCACTCAGCATTGACAAGAGCTAGATTCAATCTCTAGGATCACACACAGACAATTGTGGTCTATGCGACTATAAATGGTGATAATTCCAGCACTGGAAGGGCTAAGCAATGGACAGGTGTGATACAAGAGTGGATTTGAAGGGGAACACAGTCTCATGAGAAAGGAAGGAAAGGGAAAGGAAAGGGAAGGGAAGGGAAGGAAAGGAAAGAACAAAGAAAGAAAGGGAAAGAAAAAGGAGAGGAAAAAAGAGCAACACAAATCCTAAACCAAAGAAAAGAGATGGAAGGGAAGAAAGCAGTGTGAGGCCACCAAGGCTACATTAGACCAGTGTCAAAACTAACAAAATAGACTCATATCTATCACCATGTACAAAACTCGGGTCCAGATGGATCAAAGACCTCAACATAAAGCAAGCTGCACTGAACCTTTCAGAAGAGAGAGTGGGAAGAACACTTAAATGCATTGGCACAGGGAACCACGTCTTAAATATAACCTCAGCAGCTCAGAAACTGAAAGAAACAATTAATAAACGGGACCTCCTGAAATTAAAAAGCTTCTGTAAAGCAAAGGATATGGTCAACAAAACAAAACGACAGCCTACAGAATGGGAAAAGATCTTCACTAACCCCACATCAGACAGAGGTCTCATCTCCAAAATATACAAAGAACTCAAGAAACTGGACACCAAAAGAACACATAATCCAATATAAAAAAAATGGGGTACAGACCTAAACAGAGAACTCTCAACAGAGGAATCTAAAATGGCTGAAAGACACTTAAGGAAATGATCAACATCCTTAGTCATCAGAGAAATGCAAATCAAAACAACTCTGAGATTTCATCTTACACCTGTAAGAATGGCCAAGATCAAAAACACTGATGACAACTTATGCTGGAGAGGTTATGGGGAAAAGGGAACACTTCTGCATTGCTGGTGGGAATGGAAGCTGGTACAATCACTTTGGATGTCAGTGTGGTGATTTCTCAGAAAATTAGGAAATAACCTTCCTCAAGACCCAGTAATACTACTTTTGGGTATATATTCAAAGGATGCTCAATCGTGCCACAAGGGACATGTGCTCAACTATGTTCATAGCAGCTTTGTTTGCCATAGCCAGAACCTAGAAACAACCTAAATGCCCCTCGACTGAAGAATGGATAAGAAAAATGTGGTACATTTACACTATGGAGTACCACACAGCAGAAAAAAATAACGTATCTTGAATTTTGCAGGAAAATGGATGGAGCTAGAAAATATTATTTTGAGTGATGTAACCCAGACCCAGAAAGACAATTATCACATGTACTCACTCATAGGTGGTTTTTAAACATAAAGCAAATAAAACCAGCCTACAAACCACAATCCCAGAGAACTTAGACAACAATGAAGACACTAAGACAGACTCACATAGATCTAATCTACATAGGAAGTAAAAAGTAGAAAAAGACAAGATCTCCTGAGTAAATTGGGAGCATGGGGACCTTGGGGGAGGGTTGAAGGGGGGAGGGTTGAAGGGGGGAGGGGAGAGGCAGGGAGGAGAGCAGAGAAAAATGTAGAGCTCAATAAATATCATGAAAAAAAAACACACCTCAACCTCAAAGACAGATACTCCCTCAGAGTAAAGGGTTGGGAAAAGGTTTTCCAATCAAATGGACTAAGAAACAAGCGGGTGTAGCTATCCTAATATTTAACAAAATTGATTACAAGCTAAAATCAATCAGAAGAGATGGAGAAGGACACTTTATACTCATACCAGGAACAATTCATCAAGATGAAGTCTCAGTTCTGAATATCTATGCCCCTAATGCAAGAGCACCTACATATGTAAAAGAAACATTACTAAAACTTAAATCGCACATCAAACCCCACACAATAATAGTAGGAGACTTCAACACTCCACTCTCACCAAAGGACAGGTAAGCCAGACAGAAACTTAACAGAGAAATAAGAGAACTAAAAATGTAATAAATCAAATGGACTTAACAGACATCTATAGAACACTCCACCCAAACACAAAAGAATATACCTTCTTCTCAGCACCTCATGGAACCTTCTCTAAAATTGATCACATACTCAGCAACAAAGCAAACCTCCACAGATGCAAAAAAACTGGAGTAACCCCCTGTGTCTTATCAGATCACCAGCAATTAAAGTTAGAATTCAACAACACTACTCTCAGAAAGCCTACAAAGTCATGGAAATTAAACAGTCAACTACTGAACCACCCCTGAGTCAAGAAAGAAATTAAAGTCTTCCTTGAATTCACTGAAAATGAAGGCACAACGTATCCAAACCTAAGCGACACAATGAAAGCAGTGCTGAGGAAAGTTCACAGCACTAAGTGCCCACATAAAGAAAACAGAAAAAGCTCACATTAGTGACTTAAGAGCACACCTGAATATTCTAGAACAAAAAGAAGCAAACTCACCCAGGAGGAGTAGAAGACTGGAAATAATCAAATTGGGGGCTGAAATCAACAAAATAAAAACAAAGAAAACGATACAAAGAATCAATGAAACAAAGAGCTGGTTCCTTAAGAAAATCAACAAGATTGACAAACCCTTGTCCAAACTAATCAAAAGGGGGAGAGGAGAGAGAATATCCAAATTAACAAAATCAGAAATAAAAAGGGAACATAACAACAGACACTGAGGAAATTCAGAGAATCATTAGGTCTTACTACAAAAACTTATACTCCACAAAATTGGAAAATGTAAGAGAAATGGACAATTTTTTAGATATATACCATATACCAAAATTAAATCAAGACCAGGTTAGCCATTTAACTGGACCTATAAGCTGTGAGGAAATGGAAGCTGACATCAAAAACCTCCCCTACCCCACCCCCAAAAAAACTCATGGCCGGATGGTTTTAGTGCAGAATTCTGCTAGAACTTCCAAGAAGAGTTAACACCTATACACGTAATAGAAGCAGAAGGGGGCATTGGCAAACTCTTTTTATGTGGCTACAGTTACCCTGATACCAAAACCACACAAAGACTCAACCAAGAAAGAGAATTATAGGCCAATCTCACTCATGAACATGAATGCAAAAAACCTCAATAAAATACTGGCAAACCAAATCCAAGAAGACGTCAAAAAAAAAAAATCCATCATGATCAAGTAAGCTTCATCCCAAAGATGCAGGGCTGGTTCAACATACAAAAATCTATCAATGCAATCCATCATATAAAGAAACTGAAAGAAAAAGACATCATCATTTCATTAGATGCTGAAAAAGCATTTGAAAAAAGCCAACACCCCTTCATATAAGGTATTGGAGAGATTGGGGATACAAGGGTCATACCTAGATATAATAAAAAGCAATATACAGCAAGCTGACAGCTAACATCAAATTAAATGGAGAGAAACTCAAAATGATTCCACTAAAATCAGGAACAAGACAAGGCTGTCCACTCTCTCCTTATCTCTTCAATATAGTGCTTGAAGTTCTAGCAATAGCAGTAAGACAACATAAGGAGATCAAGGGGATTCAAATAGGAAAGGAATAAGTCAAACTTTTGTCATTTGAAGATGATATGATAGTGTACATAAGTGACCCCAAAAACTCTACCAGAGACCTCCTACAGCTGATAAATACCTTCAGTGATGTGGCAGGATACAAGATCAACTAAAAAAGAAATCAGTAGCCCTCCTATATACAAAGTATAAAGAAACAGAGAGGGAAATCAGAGAAACATAACCTTTCACAACAGCCACAAATAACACTATTTATATATAAAATATCTTAGGGTAACACTAACCAAGGAAGTGAAAGACCTATTTGTCAAGAACTTTTAGTCTTTGAAGAAAGAAACTGAAGAAGATACCAGAAAATAGAAAGATCTCCCACGCTCTTGGATAGGAAGGATCAACGTAGTAAAATGGCAATCCTACCAAAAGCAATCTATAGATTCAATGTAATCTCTATCAAAATCCAAACACAGTTCTTCACAGACAGGCCTTGAAAGAACAATAATCAACTTCTTATGGAAAACAAAAAATCCAGGATAGCCCAAACAATCCTGTACAATAAAGGAACTTCTGGGGGCATTACCATCCCTGACATCTAGCTCTATTACAGAGCTATATTAATGAAAACAGCTTGGTATTGGCATAAAAACAGATACATTGACCAGTGGAATTGAATTAAAGACCCAGATATTAATCAACACATTTATCAACATCTGATTTTTGACAAAGAAGCTAAAATTATGCAATGAAAAAAAGAAAGCATCTTCAACAAATGGTGCTGGCATAACTGGATGTCAACCTGTAGAATAATGAATAAAGCTACAGAGAAACCCTGTCTCAAAAAAAAAAGAAAGAAAGAAAGAAAGAAAGAGGGAACAAACAACAACAAAACCCCACATAATAACTATTAAAAAGAAAACTAAAAAACAGAGCTACACTGTGATCCAGCTATGGCTCTGAATGTCTATCCGGAGGAATCAATATCAGGGTACAACATGAGGCCTGAACACCTAGGAGGTTTTACGGAAAACAATTCAGCTGCAGGTGAATGAATAAGTAAAACAGGTGTGGAGATGAACACATATAAAAATACAATGGAGCTTGATTCAGCCAAAAAGAGGAACAATATTATATTATTTGCAGGAAAATTTGGAATGGAAATTGTTTTAAGCAAAAATAAGCCAGATTCCATAATAATTCCATATTTCATTTTCTCTTGCACCTGCGGAACCTAGATTTTTTTTTAAGGGCCTTGAAGTAGAGGAGCGACTTTCAAGAGAGAGGTCGAGGACAGAGGATATAGATGAATAGTGGGGTTGCTTTTCTTAAAGCGCACACACATGCAGCGGGGAGGGAAAATGGCAGGGAGAACAGGGGAGGAATTGGAGGGAAGGGAAACTGGGGTGGATTTGACCGAAATGTGTAAAAGATGGGTAGGGCACAAATGACCTGATTATATTCTATGCCTCCCTGAAATGTCATACTGAAGTCCATTGCTTTCTACAAATACGTGCTGATTTAAAACACTATTTTCTTTTTCTGAGAAAGGGTTTCATATAACCCAGGATAGCATCAGATTCACAATGTAGCTAAGGAGGACCGCAAACTCCTGATCCACCACATTTGGGGTTCTGGAATTACAGGAGTGTCCCATCATGCTCAGCTTGTACCAGACTGAGGCCCAAGCCAAGGACTTCGAGCATTCTGGGTCCGAACTCTCCCAAGGGAATTTTGCAGCCTCCCCTCAATTGTCTTCCCTGGTCGTTTGTTTGACCATTTCTTTCAAGGCGTCCCAAAGAACCTGCTCCCATTGGGCCTTCTGATATCCAGTATACACCTTTAGTAACACAACTCAAAAGAAATAATGCTTTACTTACCCCGACCTACTCAGGAATGTCACAGCCGTAGAGGGCTCAGGATCCTGCCGCAGGCCGACCACCAGGCGAAAATCCTGGGCGGGTATAGAGAAAGGGCCTGAGAGAACAGATAGATATCATTAGGAAAGGGAAATAAACAGATAGATATCAATGAAAGGGGGTGGAACGAGAGAACTGAGGTGGAGAGGGTTAGGGGAGAATATGGGAAGAGGTAGCTGGCCTAGAACTCACTGTGAGGTTCAGGCTGACTTTGAACTGGAAGCGCTACTCCCGTCCGGTCCTCCTGAGCACTGAGATCAGAAGGACAAGCCAGAGGAGAAAATGCTTAATGGAGTTGTTTTTTCCGTAATGGAAAGAAATAGTTTCAATTTTAGTTTAGACAAATAGAGGAATTAAAATGGGTATTTCTGGCTGGGAGGTGGTGGCGCACGCCTTTAATCCCAGTACTCAGGAGGCAGAGGCAGGCGGATCTCTGTGAGTTTAAGGCCAGCCTGGTCTAAAAGAACTAGTTCCAGGACAGGCTCCAAAGACACAAAGAAAGTCTACCTCAACAAACAAACAAACAAACAAAGGTATTTCTCTAAGGGCTTATTAACCAGAGTGACTGATATAAAACTGAGGCCAAGGGTATTGTGATAAATGTTTTCTTATCTTTTTAAAAAAATTTTTGTTTACATAGTAAGTTCTAGGACAGCCAGAGCTATATAGTGATGTGTAAGACCCTGACTCAAAACAAAACAAAACAAAAACAAAAACAAAAAGAAAGAAAAAAGGAAACTGTTCTCAGATTACTCATTTTACAAATTATTTCTTTTGTGAGGTGGTGGTGGCACAAGCTTTTAATCCCAGCACTTGAGAGGCAGAGGCTGGTGGATCTCTGTGAGTTCAAGGCCAGCCTGATTGAGACTGAGTGCCAAGGCAGGCAGGGTTACACAGCGAAACCCTATCTTAAAAAAACCAAAATAATTAAATTTTAAAAAATTTAAAAATTATTTCTTTGGGGCTGAAGAGATAGCTCAGTGGTTAAGAGCACTGACTGCTCTTCCAGAGGACCTGGGTTCAATTCCCAGCACCCACATGGCTGCTCACAACTGTCTGCAACTCCAGTTCCAGGGGATCTAATGCCTTCATACAAATGCACATAAAATACTAAAAAAAAAAAAAGTTTTTTAATTATTTCTTTCATTTCATGAGATTTGTTTTGTTTTGTTTTTCAAGACAGGGTTTCTCGGTGTAGCCCTGGCTGTCCTGGAACTAGCTCTGGCTATTTTATGAGATTATGATTATGTCACCCCAGCCTTTCCCCCTCCAAAACCTCCTTGGCTCTCTTTCATGGCTTCTTTTTCATTAGTTGTCATTACATACACACAGATGTGTGTACGGATGCATGCACATACATGGATATCACTGAGCACGTAAGCACACCACGCTCAATCTGTATGTTTCCAGGGCTCACCATTGGTGCTGGATAACCCTGGGGAAGACTCTCTCTCCCCCTCTCAGCCTTCCCTAGCTGTCCGTAGTTCTCTGCGCAGGGCTGCGGACTCCTGGACTCACGCCTGTGCACTCTGACACGTCTATTGGTGTCGCCCTTGTTCAGCTCACCTTTGGGCGGTCACATTGGTGAGACTTTATGCGTGTACCATCTGATGTTAGTCGACACCATCACAGCAAATCTCTGATTTTCGGCTCTTTCGATCTTTTGGCCCCTCCTTTCAAAATATCCCCTGAGCCTTAACGTCGCCTACGTGTTTCAGGTTGCTCTACTAGCTGTGGTGCTTTGAATGGCACGTTTCCCACTAGTCTCACGAATCTGAATACCCGGTCTCTAGTTGGTAGCCCTGTCTGGGGAGGCTTGGGAGATGGAGCCTTGCTGGAGGAAGTGTGCCACGGGGGGGGGGGGGGGGGTGGACTTGGAGGATGTAAAAGCCATGTGCTGTTTCCACTGTACTCTTTTTGAAGATGTAGGTACCCAACCTGCAAGTTGTCATCTGACCTCCACGTGTACACAGTTAGAGGAATACACACCCAGACACACAAATGCAATAAGAAAAGCAGGGACCTAATGTTTACTCTCACTGGTAAGCATGTGTAACGGGGCTGGAGAGAGGGCTCCGTGATTAGGAGTACTCGCTGCTCTTCCAGAAGATCCGAGTTTAGTTCCCAGCACCCACATCAGGCGTAACACCACAACCACCACAGCCTGGGGTCTGATGGCCTTCTCATGTGCCCACAGGCGTGCAGCATGAACTGACACAAACAAGTGAATGAAAATATATCTTAGGGGCCTAAAGAGATGGCTCAGTGGTTAAGAGCACTGACTGCTCTTCCAAAGGTCCTGAGTTCAATTCCCAGCAACCACATGGCCGCTCACAACCACCTGTAATGAGGTCTGGTGCCCTCTTCTGGCCTCACACAGACAGAACACTTTATGCATAATAAATAAATAAATCTTAAAATATATGCTGTGTGTTAGATGTGATCCTTTGCGATCCACGTGTGGCAGCATGGTTGGTTTGTCTACACCAGATCCACCACCAACACAGGATGGTCGCCCTGCTGAACACCGCATACAGCAGGGTCACATGAGACCATAACGGAGCTGGGAGCCTTCAGTGAAGCACCCTTACCCAGCATTTGCCTATCTAAATGGAATGCAGCTTAGGCACGCACAGGGTCCTGGGCTACATTCCAGCACTGCAGAAACAACCACAGGGCGTGGTGCTGCACACCTTAATCCCTGCACTGAGGCTGAGGCAGGTGGATCTCTGTGAATTCAGGGCCAGCCTGGCTTACTTGGTAGTCCAGGTCAGCTAAGGCTGTTTCAACCTGCACCAACAGCAATGGGTGATATTTGGTAAAAGATCACCTGAAGATCTCTAAGAAAGCGTGTATTTTAAGTGTTTTCGCAACAGAGATAAATACATGTACTACTATGTAAACCAGGCTGGCCTCAGACAGCTTAGTGTGGCAACTCTAACATGTATCAAAACACTATAAATGCAAGCATTGAATCTTCTGAGAGTTCTTTATTTCATATGCATGAACATTCTGCCTGTACCATATCAGGAGGGCACTGGAACTCGTGGGCTGGAATTGCGGTTGCTTATGAGCTGCAGTGAGGGTGGTGGGTCCTCTCCAAGGGCAGCCACTGCTTTAACCTCTGAGCCGTCTCCCCTGCCTCTGAGACTCACTTTTTCTTTTCCTTTCTTTCCTTTATTTTTTTCCCTTGAGACAACAGGGTTTCTCTGTGAAACAGTCCTGGCTGTCCTGGAACTCACTTTGTAGACCAGGCTGGCCTTGAACTCACAGAGATTCACCTGTCTCTGCTCCCCACACCCCGCATCCCGCCACCCTCTGAGTGCTGGGATTAAAGGTGTGCGCCACCACTGTCCTGCTAGATACTTGTCAATGGTTAACTGAAAACCAGCAGAAACGGCAGAGCTGGGAGATGTAACCGAGTTAGTAGAATGTCTGTCTAATATGCACGAAGCCCTGTGCCCACCACACAGCACTATCTGGGCACAGCAGTTCATGCTATTATTTCAACACTTGGTGGGTGAAGAGCGGAGAATTAGGACTTCAAGATTACCTTAGCCTAAGACATGGTAAATTCAGGGCCAGCCTGGGCTACATAAGACCTTGTTCAACAAAGCAAAACGAGTCAGAAAAGAGAAACACGTACCCAGAGACACATACAGGCGGGCACACGCCGCGAGCTGCACCGGGGTACTTACTCTGCTTTTTTAAAGTTTGGTGTCTACCACCATCTAGTGGCTGCACGTAGCAACTGTTTACAGATTCACAGGCTCTGTAAAGACAATAAAAAGATGGGGTTTGTGCCTTTGGGAAAACACAGCTACAGCATTTACAGACATTCGTGACTTAGAAAACTTGTGTGTCCACGTGGACTTAGTTCCGCCGCTATTTTGATGGCTTTATTACTTCACCATGGGGAATGCCCACATGTAGACACAACACAGAATTGTAAAAGTCCAAGTTAAAACTGAATACATTTGGGTTGTTCAAGTATGCTGCATCCATATCCACATGCACACACATGTACACACATACGTACACATGCACACACACACACACACATATCCACCTGTCTGCCTCCCCAGGGCTGGGATTAAAGGCACGTGTCACCACCACTTGGCCATAAACTACATTTTTCACTTCTGCATTTTTTTCAAGGTCTTTCTCACTTAAAATGAAACATATCATGACAGGTTCATCTAATTAAGTCAATTACTTCAGAAATCCCTTTTGGGTTTTTTTTTGTTTTTTTTTTTTGTTTGTTTGTTTGTTTGCTTGTTTGTTATGTTTTACAAGACAGGCTTTCTCTATGTCCTGGCTGTCTTGGAACTTGCTTTGTAGAACAGGCTGGCCTAGAACTCACAGAGATCCGCCTGCCTCTGCCTCCTGCATGCTGGGATTAAAGGCGTGAGCCATCACCTCCCAGCCCCTTTTATGTTTTTAAAGATGTATTTATTTTTACTTTATGTGTCTGGGTGTTGTACCTGCACGTCTGTGCGTCACACTGCAGGGCCCTCAGAGCCTAGAAGAGGACACTGGGGGCATAGGACCCCATGGAACTGTGTGGGTGCTGGAAACTAAACCTGGATCCTCTGCAAGGGCAATAAATACCCTTCTTTTCTTTTTTCTTCTTAGCAAGGTCTCTCTCTCTCTCTCTCTCTCTCTCTCTCTCTCTCTCTCTGGAGTGCTACTTATCTTGGAACCCCTGTGTAGACCAGGCTGACCTGTGTAGACCAGGCTGACCTGTGTAGACCAGGCTGACTGACCTGTGTAGACCAGGCTGACCTGTGTAGACCAGGCTGACTGACCTGTGTAGACCAGGCTGACTGACCTGTGTAGACCAGGCTGACTGACCTGTGTAGACCAGGCTGACCTGTGTAGACCAGGCTGACCTGTGTAGACCAGGCTTTTGCCTCAGGCGTGCTGGAATAAAAGCTACGTTCTACCACACCCAGCCAGTAAAGCACTGAGTTGTCTCTCCTAGAGGGAGGGCGGGCTGGGGTGGAGAAAAACACCTAAACATCCACCTAGAGCAGTTTTTTGTTTGTTTGTTTGTTTGTTTGTTTATGTTTTTTGAGACAGGCTTTTCCTTTGTACAAGTCCTGGCTGTCCTGGAACTCCCTCCATAGACCAGGATGGCCTCAAACTCACAGACATCCTCCTGCCTCTGCCTCCCAAGTGCTGGGATTAAAGGTGTGCGGCACCACTGTCCGCAGCCCACGGTTTCAACTCAACAGAACTGTTATATTACAGAGGAAGGGAGTCCCTTCTATCCCACTACCACTAAACTGCTAAACTCCCAGCTTGTGCCAGCCTCAAGGCCGGATAGGGCAGTCGAGTTTTCTTCCTGGTTACTGCTTTACATCCTGCAGTAACCGAAACGTTCTTCCCTCTAAACCGCTCCCCTTTTCCTTTCTTAAAAACAAACAGCAACAACAACAACAAAAACCCAAGAATCTATCTCATTTTATTGTATTGTATGAGTGAGTGTTTGCCTGAATATGTGTGCCTGGTACTCTAGGACACTGGGGAGGTCTTAGTGTGCAGCTTTGAAACTCACTACTACATAGATCAGGCTGGCCTCAGTTCGCAGAGATCCACCTGCCTCTGACTCCTAAATGAAGAAACTCACTTCTGCAGGTTATTCTTGGATCTCCTTTCCCAGTTTCCTCGGGTGTGAGTGGCCAACATTAACAAACGACATTTCTTCTCAAACCCTCATCTAGCACATCGCTCTGTAGAACCAGGAAAGAAGTGTTTTTAGCAATGATGGTTTAGCTACTGGGGAACTGAGGAGCTGGGCCAGGCCAGCGGGTGTTAGGGGAAATGGCTCAGGCTGCGTTTGGGGTCAGGGAAAGTAAGGTCTCTCAAAGATGGGCAGGCTGTGGTGGCTTAACCCCGACACTTGGGAGGTAGAGATAGATGGATCCCTTTGAGTTCAAGGCCAGCCTGACCTACAGAGCAAGTTCCTGAGCAGCTAAGGCTACACAGAGAAAACACTTCTCAACAAAACAAAATAAGACATAGTTTATGTCTCCACCTGGGAAGGGAGTTTAGCAAGAGGGTGTAGGTGTGGCCACTAAACCCAGGGACACTTGTTTGAGTGTTTTAAGACAGGGTCTCACATCATCTGGGCTGGCTCCAAACTCACTGTAGCTGAGGATGACCTTGAATTTCTTCCTATTTTCTCTCTCTCCCTTCTTTCCTTCCTTTCTTCTTTTCTTTCCTTCCTTTCTTTTTCTTCCTCCCTTCTTTCCTCTCTCTCTCTCTCTCTCTCTCTCTCTCTTTCTCTCTGGACAAGGTCTCTTTACATAGTCCTGGCTGCCTTGGAAATACCTATGTAGACCAGGCTTGCCTTGAATTTTCAGTGATCATCCTTACTCTGCCTTCTGAGTGCTGGGACTACTGGTGTGGGCCACGACAGAAAAACGTTGAATTTCTTTTTCTTTCTTTCTTTTTTGTTTTGTTTTGTATGTTTTTTTGTTTTTTTGAGACAGAATTTCTCTGTGTAACAGTCCAGACTGTCCTGAAACTCGCTTTGTAGATCATACTGGCCTTGAACTCACTGAGATCCACCAGCCTCTGCCTCTGCCTCCCAAGGGCTGGGATTAAAGGTCTGCGCCACCACCACCTGGCACGTTGAATTTCTTGTCTTCATCTCTCAAATGCGGGAATAACAGATGTCTCAAGTACTGGGATTACAGATGTGTGCGCACCAGGGTAGGATTAGGCCCTGTTTGGAATGTGCTTCCGGGGACAAAATCCAGGGCTTTGAGCATTCCAGGCGGGAGATCTATTAATTAAGCCACATTCCCGGCTCTTTCTTGAGGTTTTGAGAGAAGTAGCATAGGGTGCCCTAGAGCTCACTACATAGACCCCTCCTCAGTGCTGGGGTTGCAAGTGTAAATTTTGCGTTCATGGAATTTTTGGAAGGTTCTATGGCCTAAGGACGTTCACGAGCAATTGCGGCCAGACGCCACAAGGTGGCGCCCGTAGGACATTGACTGAAACACTTCGAGCAAGGCTAGGGAACCGGGCCCTAATGGCTGCTGTTCAACCCATTTACTAACCCACAAGACGAGGTAGTTGAATTTCAGATTGCACTCGCTGATCACGTGTCACGAGGCCAGCGCAGCAGCAGGCCTGGAGAGCAAGGGCGTTGGGATTTGAGTTCACACCCTGACTTCATCTCCCACTGGCCTGCCTGTTGTTGGATTTTTGGCCTCCTAACATGTCCATTCGGCACAGTGTAACAATTCTACTTAATAATGTTATTCGGGAATTTCTAGGAGAGATTTCATGTGTTCTCACCAAGGAGAAATGATGGCTTTGTCGGTAGCTTAACTGACACATACATCAGAGCATCCATGCTGTGAACTGTAAATATCTATAATTTTTGATTTTAATCTAATTGTTTATAATGTATTCATTTTATGTACATTGGTGTTTTTTTCCGGATGCATGTCTGTATGAGGGCATTAGATTCCCTGGAATTATAGTTCGACTTCAAAAAGAAAGCTGGGCAAGGTACCCCTGTCATCCGTGGTTAAGAGGTGAAGGCAGGAGGAGGAGGAATTTAAGGCTGTCCTTGGCTACTTATGGAGTTCAACACCAGCGCGATAGCTAGGTGGCAGGAAATCGGAGGAGGCAACTCTCTTTGAGTTCAAGGTCAGTCTGCTTTACAAACAGGGTTCCAGGCTAGCCAGTGCTACCCGGTGAGATCTTGTCTCCAAACAAAACAAAACTCCAAACAAACAAACAAAAATAATTCAAGCTATATGAGATCCTACCTCAAAAGACTAAACTAAAGCTCATGGTTACAGCACTTCCTTCTAGAGCTAGGCAGAGGTCCTATGTTCAATTCCCAGTCCTCAGAAACCAAACTTAAACATCAAATAATAATAATAATTAAAAATATAAGTGGATTCATTGTGTCTCTTCAATGCAGGCAATCACACCAAGTACCGTGGCTTTGGAACTTCCTCTCCTAAGACTTTATGTTCTGGTGGTGAACGGATATCAGGACAAAGAGCTGAGGTTTGTAGTGTGTTCTGCTGAACACTATGATGGTGGTCTGAGCCCTGAACACCATGAAGTTCCCCTGGTGCCATCCTGCAGGTGTTTTGCAGTGAGAGAGGTCAATGTGAGACCACACTAGGGGGGGGAGGGCAATTTAGATTTAGGATTTGTGTTAAGTGATTTGGGGGAGGTTTTTAGTTTTGTTTTGGTTTTTTATTTTCTGGTTTGTTTTCCCTGTGTTTCCTAAACATGGTTTCTCTGTGTAGCCCTGGTTGTCCTGGAACTCTCTTTGTAGACCAGGCTGGCTTTGAACTCACAGAGATTCTCCTGCCTTTGCCTCCCTTGTTTCTGTTTGCTTGTTTGTTTCGTTTTGTTTTTTTGAGCCAGGCTTCATTTTGTATTGAATGTTGTAAGCAAGCATGGACTATGTAAAACTGTGTCTTAAAAAAAACAAAACAAACAAACAAACAAACAAAACAGGGGCTGGAGAGATGGCTTCAGCAGTTAAGAGCACCAGCTTCTTTTACAGAGGACCTGGTTAGATTACCAGCACCCACATGGCAGCTCACAGCTGTCTGTAACTCCAAGATCTGACACCCTCAAACGGACATGCATGCAGGCAAAACACCAATGCAAAAAGGAAAAGCAAAACTAAACAGAACAAAAAATCCCAAACAGCTGGGCATGGTGGTGCACACTGCACTCTGGAGGCAGAGGAAAGCAAATCTCAGAGTTCGAGGCTAGCCTGGTCTC